GAAGAACGAAGACGGGATATGGATTCATGTCTCGCTGTTTTATCCTGATCAGGGTAAGGATTTGGGTCAACATTCATAAACAGCTAGACATGAATCTCAAATCTGTCTTCACTCCTGAACCTAAACTTAGAATGCGCAAGATAATGTTCAAGACAGGCAAAAATTGTCAACACGTCGTCGTCGTCCGACTTCGTTCTCTTGCTCAAACTCTCTAATAGTACTTACAGTTACAGTTGTTTCAGTTCAAGCCGTTCTGCACTATGCATTAAAAAACTCAATAATTCATGAAGAGAATTCAAAAGAAATGAATGTTTAATCATGCAATGTGTGTATATCAGATAAAGATCGGCTACTCATGCATAATTTAACTATATAGCACTTACAAATCTCAGTTACAGTGCGATATGCCGGTCTGGCTGCACAAGTCATTGTATACAGCAGTGAATTTCCAGTACGAGTTGTTGGGAAATTAATTTTCACTAGATATTTACGACTTTATATCATTACTTGCAAATTCAAGTCACATGTCATTTTGTTCGAGTCCAAGTCACAATTAAGTCGTTAATCTGATTAACAAGTCAAGTCACACGTCATAAACATTGCGACTCGAGTTCAAGTCACATGACTCGAGTCTATACAATTCTTCTGCTTTAATTGATAATAATTAACAAACTTGTAACTTTAGCAACAGTGTAACAGTAGCAAGTTAGCAACGTATTCACAGAATGCTTAGCTTCAGTTATTTCCATAAACTAGATACCAACATTTCCTTACTGCCAAGGCAACGCCAACGATTTCCTTAACAAAATGCATTATCCATCACCATGCGTACCCACCAATAACAAAGGACGAACACCCAAGGTTAATGAAGGGCTACACGCAATGACAGCGGGTATAAAAAGACGGCATTTGACTTCGATCCTCATTCGCAGCAAGCAGCTCAACTGTCAACAGTGAAGCAGAACAACAACATATAAAGGATTATTGTTTTAATTAAATTCGATAGAAAAATGAAGATCTTCGTAGCTTTGATTTTGTTTGGAATTATATGCACTCTCAGTGAAGGTAATTTTTAAATTTTATTGTTTAGATTTTTTTAATCGTACATTGTAGCAGGGCGGTGGTGCCAGTATTGCGCCGTAATTTGGTCAAATGCAGATCGATAAAACAGTGCTTGACAGACTCCTGAAATAGAAAAAGAGAGAGCCTCGCTTTGCAAAAGCGTGTTAAGAAAAAAACGTAGTCAAGAATTGTTTAGAAACTAGCATGGAAGCCATTAACAGACCGATGGGATTTAAATAAAAAATGTCCTGCGGTTTTTAAATCTCTTAAGTTAAGGGTTCCTTTCCTATTAACCTTAGGAATCTATTTGTTCTTAATTCTGATATGCATAATTATAATATCCGTACTCGATCACATCATTTTCGTATTCAGCTGTTAAGCTATATAATGATCTCAGCAATGGCCAGTACAGATCTTCTATATGAAGAACAGTTCAGAATTGATACGGTTTGACTATATACTCACGGGCGCTCATTGCGAGGGATATTAGTACATTAGGGTTTTATTAAGCGATTACGACACCGGATGCCAAAATTACTGACATCACGCAAAACCTGTGAGGGGCAGTCAAACCCGAATTGATAGAGCTATCCAGCACTGATTACAAAAGGACTGATACATTTATTTAGTTGAGGGGTTTTTCGGTTGTAAAATTAATGATATACTTTTATGAGTACCTTCAAGAAGAACATTTATCACCAAAATCATTTATAGTATATGCATAAATGAAGTTATAAAGTTTAATTTCAATATCTGTGAATGTATTTACCTCTGCATGCATGAAAACTGAAAAGTGATAAAAATAATAAACTATATTTATCTTTTTCCCAGCCTGCACTTCGTCAAAACGGACTCGCGCTCGAGGCAGAAACCCAAAGATAATCGCAACTTCGCCTCCTGTAACCGAAGGCGTGGAAGAAGCAACCGAAACCCCCACCGAAAAAGCCACTGAGGCAATTACGGCTACCATAAACCCAAATATAATTAGAAGTTTACCTTTTATTACCGAAGCACCCACGGAAGAAGCCACTGAAGCCATTATGAGTACCGAACCACCTGTAGCAACCGAGGGAGTTGTCGAACTAACCACCGAGGCTGCAGAAAAAGTTACCGAAGTCGCCACTGAAAAGCCTGTTGTGGCAACAACAGAGCAGGAAGTGGCACAAGCGACAACGAAGGCACCCACCGAAGCAGCAGCACCCACTGAACCCAAAGCAGTGGAAGCTAGCACCGAACTAGTCGACCCCGTCACTCGTCCTACTTCAGTCCACAGGTTCTTTAAACAGTCAGCATTTGTAAGCAGCGGTACAGATGACAGAACATGCCCTGATGTTGGTGGAGAATGTCGAAAAGAATGCAATGGCACGACGGAATACAATAGGGGACGATTTCAATGCTCTTCTGGAAGCTGTTGTGTCAAAAGATAATATACCAATGTACATAGAGAGATGTCGTTTTGAAATTATCGTAATGGATCAAAAACAATCTGTTAACGGCTACAGCACAATGCATCGCGATAATGCTAAACGATTATGTTCAAAATTAGGATATTGTGATACTTTATGTATATTTCAATAAAGAAAACAAGATGAGATTTTGGTATTGTCTTTGTGGCAGTTTTAGACCAAAACAGACTTGAAAATATAAAAAGCATGCATGTTTAGTACCAAACGTAGTTAGGAATGTTAAAATAGTATTGTACACAATCGGTGATAAATGATCACTTAATTAACATTTAGTGCTTATGCCCAATATGTTTATCTTTCTATCAAATATATTTATCACTATACATAATGTAATTATGCAAACAATATTTATCTCTTGAAATAAATATAAAAATATATATTTTGGTGCAGCTTGTACTTGTTAAAATTTGTGCTTGTGTATTTTAATTATTGTTTTGTCATGTTTTATGTATAATAAACATAACAAGACTAAGCCGACAGCTTTTTTAGCTGCCATATACTTGGTATAGTGACACCGACAGAAAGGAAGACTTCGATACTTAATAAAGTCTTCCTTTCCGTCGCTGTCATTATACCAACTATATACCTTTGGCTTTGAGATAAACACGATGAGCATGACCCTGATTTCGCGAGCCTGGCCAGGCTTTTTTATAAGGGTAAAAGTGGTAAAACGATTCGTTGTAGCTTTGTCAATTTTATGTATTATATCGCGCCTGCACGAAAACATTAAGTATACCTTTTACCTTTTTTAAGGATTTAAGCGCATATATACAAGAGGGTAAAAGACGTAATATATAAAAACAATTTAAAAGTGAAGTGCTATGCAAACTTCCTCTGGCTCTAATAAAATCTCGAAAGGTCAGCACCAGAACTAGTTCGGCGTTCGAGCGAAGCCTTTTGTCGAAAAGGTTATATACTAACTTCCGGTCGAAGTTCTGTTTGTATATTCGAGGTAGTTGTCAAAAATCCTTCACACCACAAGCACCTGTCTCCTTCACACCACAAGCACCTGTCTTTGAAGTTCTTGTCAATTTTCGTAACTGCATAAATGACACTGCATCCGTGGCTTGCGTCTGGACTACCAGAAAAAGAAACAAACAAGAACAAAGTCAAAGGCCTTCAGTTCAGCTTCAACAGGTTAACCGGTAACAAACTAACAGCATCGGTTACTACGCTATCAAGCGCCGACTTCCTGCATGACAAAGAGCTTTCAACGTCAGGATGATTTTAATCAGAAAGTTGGAAAACATGCAATAGCTATCTTCTACCAAATTTTTACACAGCTATTCATTAGTGAGTATCGAAAATTTAATCTAGGAGATGAATTTTGACACTAAAATTATTGAAATTGGTCTAGTAAAAAACATTGACATTGCATGGTCATTATTGTTATATAAGAGTATTTACATACACATCGCCAAAAACTCGTAAAACCATAACTTATAATCACGGAACTATAGTCTCCAAGGAACTTGTGATATTTAATTAGCGCGTATAAGCCATATCCAATAAGCCATTGAAATCATAATGCATGGGTTGTGTTATAAATATCAACGGATTTGATGTTCTCTTACTTTAAATAGTAAAAGAAACCCTATCCGATATCAGTATGTGCATGTTCGCACAGAAATATGCGGCTGTTTCAAACTATGTTCCCAGTTGTTGTGATAAGTTTGGAACAAGTTGTTATCACCTTGTTACAAGGTTGATGACGGTAATCACTTGCTACAAGTTGTTTCAGCAAAAAACTGAAGCTTGCCTGGTGTGGATATACACCAGCTCAGAGTAACATCACAAGCATCATAATACAAGCTGATCGTAACAAGTTGCTACGCCGAGCTTGTTGTCATTAACTTTTTAACAACTTGTTACCTGCAGATGATATCAGACTTGTTGGAACAACTTGTTGCGAGTGACCTGTTGGCCTCATCAACCTTGTTACAAGAACAATTACTTGTTCCAGACTTGTCAACAACTGGGAACAAGCAGTGCGAGCACATCTTGTTGACTATATAGCTGTGAGTTTTTTACGCGGATGTAATACACAGTATACCCATTTTGCCAAAGCCATATAAGCTATATACTCAAAGCTCGGGTTCTCGTTTAGATTTGAGTTCAATTAACTGTTGAATTTTGATGGCTGCCTACACACCTACCCCTCCCCTCCTTGTCCACTCTTCTTCCCATATATCACTGCCAATATTTAAAATCAATTTAAGTGCATTTTTGCCACACATGATTAATTGGACCATGCATGCGAGCTTTTTACCATGTATGGCGGGTAAATGGCTCCAGTACAGGAGACTTAAATGTGCAAAATTGGCGGTGAACGTCAAGAGAGAACGCCTTTATATTCCGATCATGTGAAAAACTACGAACAAACATAATTGCAACCATGCATTATTAAATTTTTTTTTTTTTTCCCTTCCTCCCCGAAAATTATGCAATATATACCTTTTCGGCTATGTTCTAGATTTTTACACACGGGTATAATTATTAGTGGGTATATCGAAAATTTAATCCAAGAAATAAACTTAAGATTATTACACTAAACAAGTGGAATCAATGTTATATGGCTGTTTTAAAATAAAAATTATGAAATCATGATGTATCCGTGTCGACATATAATTGTATTTTCTCGAAGGCAACTGACATATAGTTAACTATGAACAAAGGTAGTATACTTACGAGATGTAGCCAAAATGTTTAATATATTTTTACTGCAGATACTGGAATTGCAGGGCGGCAGGTTCGATTTATGCATCCACTGGAACCAACTCTGGTCCAAAACATTATACACTATGGCGAAACTTGTATTTCATAACTTTAAATAAGTATATCGTCATTATTTTATGGTGGATTTTATTGAAATTTTCAGGACGTATATACTAAAGAAAGGTAGATTATTCATTTTATTATAATAAAAGCTTATTTAACAATGCTAAAATTGTCATTTTAAACGCATTGCTATACTGCCTACTGTATGTGCTATTACCTATAGTTGCATTCAGTTTCGCAACATGTTGTTATGTCTAAAAATGTACACGGCTAAAAACGCACAGGTTGTTACAAGTTGATATCGACAGGCGTGAACAATGTTGTGCGGCCAACTATGAACAAGTTGTCAACCATGTTGTTCCAAGTTGTTACAGTTGAACGATGCTGTAACAACATGTTGACAATACTGTTCATAGTGGGCCGCACAACCTTGTTCACGCCTGTCGATATCAACTTGCAACAAGTTGTTGATTTTCTCAATTTTTACGCGTGTATATATTAACTTTTACTTGAAATTTCCATCCATAACAAAAACCGTTCAAATAAGTTTAAAAGACAATCTTCTCTTTGACCTTTGTCCTGATAAAATCTAGCCTGCCTGCGTGGAATAGCTCCCGTGCCATCCTCCCCCCCTCCCCCTGCCACCCCCTCCCACTTTTAAACAGGCTCCGCGGTCCCTGAGTTCAGACATAAACCGCGGAAGATTTTGTTTCACCTCTGCCAAGAAGAAATTTATGTGTAACGGCTGTGTAGCAATAACTCAAAAAAAAAAGATCAAATTTATTCGTATACGAAAATTTGTAGGGGAAACGGCAATAAGCCGAGGACCGATCGATCAAATAAACTTTGGTTCAATTTGGACGAAAACCGCTGAATGAGTAAGCTGTTGGCAAAGGTTTGTCATACAGTTTCCCGAGTCGTCAACAAGCGACCTTAAGCATGTTGGATGGCAAACAAACTCGTTGAACCAAATGATTGCAAAAGAAAACATGTCGTCTGAAAATGTATCCATCGTATGAAAATTTACAGTTTAATTAAGCATCAAGATTAACACACGGTTTATGAATGTTCTGGAACTTTTCTCAATCCGGCATAGACTAAACAGTTGTCTCAGCTTGAATTGAAATGTATATAGACCCTATGCATGCGTTGTATACAAGACGTGATAAATGATAATCTGTATTTTGCCGTTGTAACTGCAAAGCAATTAATGGCGACGTCTAAAACTTCTGTGGGATTTTCCTGCTCATTTTCCGTTGCATTAATATGATATCAATAGCCGTCCTTGTTACACTTTCGTCCAGCGTGTTGAGGTTATACTAATAACAGTAATTCTTATTTATAATTAGAAAAGTATAAAGTTTAAGGCGGTTTCTTGTCATGTCCCCGTACTAGATTCTAAAAGCCTTGCTTAAGTTCGCTAAGCCGTTTCTGACGGCAAAACTCACGAGACATTAGTGAACAGTGCACAAAGGGCGGAAAATGCACAAGAGTCATAATTAAATAAAAAAGGTGCGTTGTATTGTCAAGGGCTAGGGGCGTGGGTGTGTGATGCAACAAGTCCAGACAGTTCTCATTATATCATATTGGCATTCAAATACAATGAACATTCGTGAAAATGAATTACACACGCGAGCAAACTACACACACAAGTTCTCTATAGTGTAGAGGAAATACGCGGTTAATTCACCTTGCCCTGTCGGTATAGGGACACATGAAAAATTCACATTATAGTGGCTATAGTCACTTTTTAGTTCACGCCTGATCTGAGAAAAGTCCCCAATAATTTTTTTGCTGCTTTTTTATTTTCAAAAAAACCTAAATACTTGATCAACACGTTTTTTTCTCGTATAGATAGTCGCAATGTTGAATCTTGAATCCCAAATAGCGATGAGCTAAAAATATTAACTGGACTACAATTGAATATTATGCGAAAATCCAACGCTAAAGTTTAAAAATTGTTGTAGGTAGATTAGGTAGAGGATACTATCCGAAACAATCATCAATATAGACATGATAGCCGTTCATAGCGTCGAATTATGATTGGAAACAAATCATAGAAATAATAGATACCGGTCACGTGACCAAGCACGCATTCTAGGTCTAATATTTCTATGAAACAAATCCATCCCTTCTGACGATAAAGAAATTTTAGTTTTTGACAGGCTATAAACAAAACAGAAAATATATATTGAACAAAACAGAAAATTTATATTCTCCAAGCAACAGCCATGCAAGATAGTCCGTAATCACCTAACATTTTGGCAATGTTTTACTCAAGTGGTTAAACATTGGTTAAAACTTAAAACGTTGATCAAGATGAGGTTTTTTACTATAAAGGTTTTTTACTATTACACGTACCAAAATTTATTTTTGGAGTTAGTCGCACTTTAAGAAAGATGATTACAGATTGCATTTCAAGGGATGTTACATCAAGCAGTATGTCCCATGCAACTTGCAATGATCGTAGTGTAAAAACCGGGAGTGCTAACGTTTGGCGCCAGATTGACAGTCAAAAGCCAATAGGAAGCCATTCAGTGTATAAACATTGCGATTTGCGAGAATAGTTGCAAGAGGGATGTTACACTGTGCAATATGCTTATATATTTGTTTCATATAATAAAAAGAAAACCGCCGAATTGAATTAAACAAGTAAATAGCTTACTTTTTATCCACCCAAACATTTGGAAATTTGAAAAAGTCGAAATTTTACAAATATCACGCGTACATGATATAGAGTAAAACCCCACATAGAAGAACCAGTGAATTTTGACTTCAGGCTGAAGTGGTTCTTATATAATCTTACTTCACACTATACTTTTTTTTATTCTACACATTAATAGGGACTGTTGTTGCATAGAACTATTGCCATGACACAAATATGGTTCTCGTTACATGTATCTAAACTTAAAAAATCTTTCAAAAACTTGTATTTTGGGTGCTTAATTGCCAAATTTCAGGCTGGTGGTTCTTAACCTACTGGTTCTTTTATGTGGGGTTTTACTGTATACAAATAAGGGAATGCTATTGGCTATCTTAAAGGCACAGTTCAGCCTTTTGAATGATGCATGGGTTTTTTATAAAGCGCATTATAACCTTTTTAAGTGAAAAAACTAACTAGGAAAATCAATTAAGCATAATTCAATGTAAATGTCTACTTACAATGTCGGCAACACTTTCTCCACTAAGTATGTGTTCCTTCGTGTCTCTTCATGTTACATTGCTGTGTAAATATCTTCTCACAATGATGACATTGATATGGACGTTCTCCACTATGTATTCTTTCGTGCGTCTTCAAGTTACCTTGCCGTGTAAATGTCTTACCACACTGTCGACATCGGTATGGACGATCTCCACTATGTATTCTTTCGTGCGTCTTCAAGGAACCTTGCTGTGTAAATGTCTTATCACACTGTCGACATTGGTATGGACGATCTCCACTATGTATTCTTTCGTGCGTCTTCAAAGTTACCTTGCCGTGTAAATATCTTACCACACTCATGTCGACATTCATGGTATGGACGATCTCCACTATGTATTCTTTCGTGCGTCTTCAAGGAACCTTGCTGTGTAAATGTCTTATCACACTGTCGACAATAATTGATATGGACGTTCTCCATTATGTATTCTTTCGTGTCTCATCAATTGGCTTTCAATTGTAAATATTTTACCACAATGGTGACATTGTTTAACTTTGACACTGATGTTGACGCGACATTTTGAAGATTCAGGATTCCTACAATCTTTCTCGTGTACATTGCGATAATCCTCACTACTGTACTTTCTCCCGCAATGACAACATTCCCAGGATTCGTACGATACCAACATTGGACATCTTTTCAAATGAGCTTCCAGGTAATTCTTATAAGAATATATTCGTCCACAATGTTTACATGTGTGATCACCTTCTAAAAAACACATATGGAGTAGTAAGCTGGTAAAGGTTCGCATGGTGGTTTGGTTATAGTGGAAAACACGAACTATATATTTGCATAATAGTTTTGTTTGTGGAAATACCATGTAAATTTATTACTGCAAAGCTTTCGATCCGCAAGCCCGAATCTTCATTAGTGCTAATAATATGTTACAATATATGTTGTAATAATTACGGATCGAAAGCTTTGCAGTAATAAATTTACGTGGTGTTTCCACAGACAAAACTATTATATGTTTTATCGCCACGCAAACGTACAAAGAACTTATATATTTGTAGCAGTAATTTCGATCATTAAACCGAAATTATTCAACTACATGCTATCGATATAATATGTAAATTATTACCTAATGAAACTTTTGCATTGTATGTTGTTCAATTTTTTGAGAATAATGCTCAATTTCAAACACTGCATATAATAAACATCCTTGTATCTTTGGACGTTTCGTTCCGTAGGTTTTTTTGATCGTCATAAACAATTGTATAAAATAAACCACAAAATTGGAAACTCATTCAATTAATAATCGGAAACTTAAAGTTTGATCCACTAGGCACAATATTAACATTGAAAAAATTCACTCGCATTTGTTTATGATAAACGTTTGACCTACCTTTTCCTGGCGATTTTTCATCTTCGTTAACTCGATTCAGAATTGATATGTCAAGTGGCTCTTCATCTTCAGCTTCGTTCACTTGATTTGGAAGGATCGTTTTACCAAGTTGATCTCCACTTTTATCTTCATTCACATGATGCAGTAAAATTGGCATATCAAGCTGTTCTTCATCTTCATCCATCTTCGTCACCTGACTGGATACAATTGGTACACCAACTTGTTTCTCATTTTCATCTTCATTAACCTTATTTGGTAAAATCCGTATACCAAGTTCTTCTCCATATTCATCCCCGTACCAAACCAATAGTTCACCACCTGCTACTATTTCTTTGTACACACGGTAAAAAATATCACCACGATATTGATAGGCGACAAGGTTTTGTTCTTCTTCACTCCGTGCGCAGTTGACGAAACGCAGCCAGTTGCTTTGAGAAGATTCTTTTCCATCTATGACATGGGTTGTTTTTCCACCTTCAACGATCTGGAAGAGAAAGTTGTGATCTCATGATTTGTTGAACAATCTCAATCTCTCTCCAATACATTTTCCAAAAATATAATGAAACGGTAAAGACACAAAAAATAGTGAAGGCCCTTGTCTCGTCGCTGCAAACTTCCCAATGAAGGGCCTTCGCTCGAAACGTCGAAATTCTGCTTGTATATTTCAGGTAGTTGTAATCTCTCGATTCTTAGACTCACTGCAAATTTTTGTTCCGTAGACAGGCAGACTCCTCATTGATAGTCGGACGCATCATTGACCCGCGCCCTTAAAAAAATATTCAGCGGATACTCTTATCGCACGCAATTGTTGATTTCAAAACAGTCTGATTGATTGCTTGGACGTGGTTGAGATGCCAAAATCTGAGCAGCACACATTGCAGCTTCATATTTTGTGTGGTGATGACATCTAAAATATTTTATTAAGTTATATACGCCATTCCCACTTGCTTTTCTTTACTTTTGTAACTGTTTGTAAGTTTCATTGTTTTCGATTCCATAATTCTGAAAAACATTGCAATATCTTCCAGAGCGATTGCAGAATACCCGTCCACTTTTTAAGCTATATGCCTTTCAAACATCATGGATACGATGTATTAATACATACTAATTTATTCTCAATAGATTAATAATAAATAGATTAATAGATTAAAATCTCATGGTGGTAAAGGTAGCTACGAGGCATACAGTGAGTCAGTGACTTAGCATTAATACATTAAATTGTCATAGTGTTAAAGGTAGCTCTATATTCTAGTGGATACGCGGATACGCAGTCAAGTAGTTATTTTGAGGACGAGGCATACAGTTAGATTAGCATTAGATCAAATTCGTGAACACGCAGTCAAGTAATTATTTTGAGGTGATTAAGGCGACAGTTAGCATTAGCTAGTATAGGTAATCATGCGATGGCGAGTACAATTAGGGATTAATAGTACGAGTGATGTTTGGAAATTTTGCCAAAATTGGACGAGCCGCAGGGGCGAGTCCAATTTGGAAAATTTCCAAACATCACGAGTACTATTAATCCCTAATTGTAGGAGCAACATCGCATGATTACTTATTTATTATTAGCATGACAAAATTGGATATTTCTCAATGTCAACATCATATTCTCTCGCCAAAGCCCAGTTCTGCAAGACTTTCAACGAAAATTTTGTGCTTTTGTTTGTATTTTCATTTAGTTCTTTTGTTAAAGCAAAATTTGTGCTTTTGTTCGTATTTCCATAAAGTTCTGCTTGGGCAATTTCACTTCACATTTGTGTTTAAAATACCTTTCCGCCATTTTGTTTGTTTTGGGAAAATCATTAATTGCACTGCAGTACAATTAATGAAATAATTGTACTCCTCTCAGCCAATCAGCACCCAGTAATTTTGTCATGCTAATAATAAATAGATTAATTAAAGTCTCAAGTATAAGTCGTATAGAGAGCTTAAATGTGGTGTAGCTAACATGTAAATATATTCCTCAGAAGCGGACATTGGTGTTTGACAGATTATGATTAATTAGCGTCGCTGGGAGAAAAAAAATTATATTATATAGCATAGCAATCTTTGATGATATTTCCTTTATACTATCAATTCGTAATATTGTCTTAGTAATTAGTTTGTGTACGAGGCAATAAGATCTGGTATTACTAGTGGACGGATATTCGGCAATACTTCTATTTGTGGAAAGTGGTCTTGATGGTCGCTTTGAATCTGAATCAAATTCGACGTATGAAACAGGCCTAATTCTCTTCAATTGGAATGATATATAGTTTTAACTCGCAATAGCAGTTCTTGAGTATTTTCGGGACCAGAAAAACAAGTTTGTAGATTCACTATGGGTCTATGGCATCGCTAATCCCATGGATTACCTCGAAAGTAAAGGAGTTAATGCGAGAGAGAGATTTTCACAAAAAGGCCGTAAAAAATAATTCGAACATGCACTGGATCAAGTTTAGAGCAACTAGGAATAAAGTCAATTCTGAATTAAAGAAGGCTAAAAAGAACTACTTTTGCAATAAAATCAAAGATTGTGTCAGGGTAAAGGACCCTAAGCAAAGTTGGAAATTAATAAACAATCTTTTAGGCAAAAATAATAAATCAAATAATATTTCTCAACTTAAAGTTGAAGACGTTATTATTTCTGACGACATAAAGATAGCCGAGTCCTTTAATGATTTTTTTGTGAATATCGGAGCTAAACTAGCTAACGAAATCGAGATCAATTCCACTGATTTCACTTCATTACAAAGTGTTCCTTCTAGGCCAGATATTCAGTTTAAGTTCTCTGAAATGAGTACACACGAAGTGTGTCTTCAATTACGCAATCTTAAAACATCAAAATCAACAGGTATTGATACAATTCCAGCGAGAGCACTTAAAATTGCTGCTGAAATAATTAGTCCGTCACTAACGTGGATATTTAATTTATCAATTAAAACTGGAATTTATGTGGAAGAATGGAAAAAGGCTTGGGTTTTACCGATATATAAATCTGAAGACAGACAAAAATGCGAAAATTATCGTCCAATTTCCATTCTACCAATTATAAGTAAAATCTTTGAACGTTTAGTCTTCAACCAATTATACAAATATCTAAATGAAAACTCCCTGCTTTCTAAGTATCAATCCGGCTTCCGTCCAAAGAACTCAATTGTGTCTGCACTTATTCAAATGTGCGATGCATGGTACACTAACATGGATAATGGAGACTTGAACGGTGTTGTTTTTCTTGATATTCGGAAAGCGTTTGACTCAATTAACCATAATATTTTATTGCGTAAAATGAAAGAACAATTTGGAGTTTCAAATATCGAATTAAAATGGTTTGAATCCTACATTTCTAATAGGGAACAAGTGTGTTTTGTCAATGGCACGATGTCAACACCTAGTCTCGTTTGTGGAGTCCCTCAAGGGTTTATTTTAGGCCCACTTCTATTCCTGCTTTATATTAATGATCTCCCAAATAATCTCAAGAATACAATCCCGTGCTTATATGCTGATGATACACAGATTTTTTCATCTGCTAATGACTATCAGCACCTCGTTTTCAATTTGAACAGTGACTTGAATAACATAAGTCAATGGCTCAAACAAAACAAATTGCAACACCATTCATCCAAAACTAAATTAATGTACGTAGGATCTAAACATAATCTCCATAAGATAAATAATGACATTCCTGTAATGTTAAATGGTCAACCAATTCCTAGGGCAACCTCAATACCTTGTTTGGGCGCCACCCTTGATGAAACGTTGAGTTGGGATGAGCATATTGACGTAATTTGCAGAAAGGTTGCAGCAGGTATTGGAACGTTAAGGCGCATCAAGCCATTCGTTCCTGTAAACATGCTGCAATCAATCTATAGCGCTTTGATACAACCCTACTTCGATTATTGTTCTCCCCTTTGGGACACTTGTAACAAAACATTAAAAGACAAATTGCAGAAGTTTCAAAATCGAGCAGCTAGGATAATAGCTGGTGCTGGTTATGAGATCAGGTCTGCTGACGTTCTTCAATCTCTTGAATGGAACAATTTAGAATCTAGAAGAAAATTAACTAAGGCAACTCTTGTTTATAAAATTCTAAACGACCATAGTTCGCCGAACTTGAAAGAGTTTTTGATAAAAAGGAATATTTCGCAAACGACTTACGATCTCAGAAATGCTCAGAATGATCTGGCCGTTCCTAAGCCAAGACGCGACTTTCTGAAAAAGAGTTTTCGATATAGTGGTGCTAAACTATGGAATGATCTTCCTGGTGAAGCTAAGGAAGCCCTATCAATGTGTTCTTTTAAAAATATTGTAAGGCAAAGTAACTAACCTAATATTAATTTAAATGGATTATTACAGACATATTTATATGGCCAAATCACACCAAACCACTAACTTCCTTTTAAACCATTCTAATTAATTACTATATATATTGCATGTATTTGTACTTATATTTGTCTTTTTTGTAAATAGTTTTTGTAAATTTTCAAATGTCGACGCCCCTTGTGGAAATCAACTCTCTTTGTTGACAAGGCTAGCGTCTTTAAATAAATTTTTACATACATACATACATACAAGCAAATCGTTCATCTTTCTACACGTGGTCGTAGACGAACAACGAGGAGTGATGGATATATGGTGCAAGAGTGGGTTACGCAGGGTACGAAGAGATCCATCGATAACGCGCAGAGGCCTCAACGCGGATCAATGATGCGTCCGACTATCAATGAGAAGCCCGACTGTCTACGGAAAAAAATTTGCATCGTCGCAACCGTTCACAGACCGTTCGAGTTTATATAAAAAAACTCAAAAGATAGTCGTTACCAAGGAACGCGGCCATTAAGCTCTTTTTAAAAACAAAGAGTACATGACTGGTATAAAACAATAACTCAGGAGGTTGGAATTGTTAAAAAATATTGCTAAGTCTTTGTTTTTAAACAAATAATTAGTGATTGACAGATAATCGGAATCTGGGCGAATTTTGCCGTATCGGTGGACAATCGGAATCAGAAGAATTATCTGTATTTCCGATTGTGCAAAACCGATTGTTGAGAAAATATACGCACTTTGGTATGGCATGGTATGCTATGGTATGTTATACGGTAAAACGTTAGTTTACTAAGCTGACCCCAGATTTCCAAGAGGGGCGTACATTTGAATTTCAAAAATTACATTATAATGTACAATTACAGTCACTACACTGAGTACAAAATAAGATAGCTAAATAAAAAAAAATTGAATAAGATAAATAATCATGCAAAGACATTATTTCATGAATTGACTTAACTGGCCCGGTGTCACAATACTTGTATTAAAGGATTTAAAGGCAGTAAGAGATCTGGGGAACTTTTCCACATTTTTGCCCCTAAAACTATATACATTACACATTGATACACGTCGCAAGCAAGCTCGCTACGTTTGCTTGCATCTAATTAAAATAAACTGTCGAGCGTATTGAGTGAATGAAAGTACTTGCAGCGAGGTTGTTTTTACGATGAATACACGAATTTTCACAATGGACCCATTGCACATGACGTCACAGCGCCGGTGACGATGCATCTGGAGGACA